CGTGGGCTCCCCGGACCTGTCGGTGCCTGAAGTTCCAGTGCCCGCCTTCCCCCAGCCCGCTGGTGCTGCGGGCCTCGCACCCTCCTCTCCTCCGCGTTCGCCTGGTCCCTTCGGCCGGGACGCCGCTGCGACGCGGCTGCAAGCCTGCTGCTTGCCTGCTGGGCCGGTAGGCAGCCAGGCTCGTTTTTAACAGCTGCCAGCAAAAAGCACCAGCATTTGACTCATTAATTGTTACTTGATTATGCTTTGCTTCATCAAAGTCCAAAGACCTTTTCAGAGTCTTAAAGTTTACAATCAGCGTAGCTCGTCTAGTTTTGAAATAACTAGAAAAGAGTAAACGCTAGCTACCTGCCTGTGAATACTCTCTTGCTTTATTTCTGTATTGCTCTAAAAGCACTTCAGCGATGCAATACAAAAGAGCAAAATCCAAACGACATCGTGATCTCAGTGCTGGCTTGGGACTTAGAAAGCTTCCTGGTGATGGCAAGCTGGCTTTCTGAGAGTGCCGTGGATGCTCCGGAATCACTGCGTGGATCCAGTGTCCGATGGTGTTCCTGTGCCTAGAGGATCTGGTGCAGCTTGCTTTAGTGATGTTTCAGGTGCTGTTTTCAAGGCTTACATGCCCCCGTGCGATTGTAGGCACTTACCTGGGCCTAAACATGCAGATCTGACAGAAACGCGGCTAGCTTCAGTATGGCTAGAAAAAAGTTTAGGTATTGTGAGTTGGCTTTTGAGGAGCAGGGAGGAAGTCGTGCTCTGACCTGAGCAGATGTTATGCTGGAGAGGTAATGGCTATCATTTTATCACTCCTCCTTATTTTCCGTTTAGGAGGACATGGCTGCTCACGTGGGAGCATCCCGAACCCCTCAGGAGGTGATGGAACACTACGTGAGCATGTACATCCACGGCAACCTGGGAAAAGCCTGCATCCCCGACACTATTCCGAACAGAGTAACGGACCACACGTGTCCCAGCGGTGGCCCCCTTTCTCCTAGCTTGACCACGCCGCTCCCACCACTGGATATCTCGGTGGCCGAGCAGCAGCAGTTGGGATACATGCCGCTTCGGGATGACTATGAGATCGAGTACGATCAAGACGCGGAGACTCTGATCAGTGGCCTTTCGGTGAACTATGACGACGATGATGTGGAAATAGAGTTAAAAAGAGCTCACGTAGACATGTACGTAAGGAAGCTCAAGGAGAGGCAGCGGCGGAAGAACATTGCACGAGACTATAACTTGGTACCGGCCTTTCTGGGAAAGGATAAAAAGGACAAGGAGAAAGCTCCCAAACGAAAGATCACAAAAGAAGAGAAGGAGTTGAGGCTGAAGCTGAGGCCTCTGTACCAGTTCATGTCCTGTAAGGAGTTTGAAGACTTCTTTGAGAACATGCACAAGGAGAGGATACTTCGAGCCAAGATTCGGGAGCTGCAGCGGTATCGTCGAAATGGAATCACCAAAATGGAAGAGTCGGCAGAATACGAGGCAGCCAGGCATAAACGGGAAAAGAGGAAGGAGAACAAAAACATAGCTAGTTCCAAGAGAGGGAAGGAAGAGGGTAAAGAAGGTGAATTTGCTGCCATTGAAAACCTGCCTGGCTTTGAACTCTTATCGGACAGGGAAAAGGTCCTCTGCAGCTCTCTAAATTTGAGTCCTGCACGTTATGTGACTGTAAAAACTATAATCATTAAAGACCACCTCCAGAAAAGACAAGGAATTCCTTCAAAGAGTCGCCTTCCCAGTTACTTAGATAAGGTACTGAAGAAAAGGATTTTAAACTTTCTAACAGAAAGTGGTTGGATATCCAGGGATGCTTCATGAAACTCAGTTGATCTGAAAGAACGCAGCAGAGGCCCGTTAGAGCCTCACGGACTCCGTTGTTTTTTCCTTCCCTCCCCAAAGATACAGAAATTATATGTCGCTTAAAAACAAAACAAAAAAAAAAAAAAGGAAATACATAAACCCCTGCAGTATTCGTGATCCACGGTTCAAATATACTTTTGCTTTGGATCATGGAAAATACTTAATTGTGAAACTTCTACATTGGATTTCACTGCTTTTGGTACATTATTACAGCAGATTTCTTTCATGTTCTTGAACTTAAGTCCAGTAGTCCCAGAGCAGTTACTTTACTCCTTACTATTGGACAACTGAGTATCAGCGTAATCCTCGCTTTTCTTTGAAGGCAGGAGATTGTTTCATTTGCTGGAAACTTTCTTCTCCCTTTGTTTTGTTTTTTTTGGCATAATGCTGGCAGCAAAGTGAAGCTTACAAAAGTCCTGTGCTCAGGAGCGCGGTGAGCCGGGATTTTGTGACCGTTGCTAAGCGTTCAGAACATTCTCCTTAGTAACTACAGCCAAGGCGCTGGGACAGCGGGGTGAGAGTTTCTGTCCAGAATACAGCAGGGAAGAGCCACAGCAGGGAGCGGAAGGAAAGAAATGTGGTAGGCGAGATGCCTTCAGGTGCTTGGGCTGTGGAAAGGGTTCTTGGAGAGCTGCCTTCACACCGGGCGCAGCTTTGACTTGAGTTTTTGCTGAAACAAGACCCCGCTGAATCTTCCAGGTTAACTAATTAGTAGCAAAGTTGCAGGAGTGGTGTGGTGCTTTGTTCCAGAGGGGTCAGCACTACTGTGAAGCGGCCAATTTGGGGCCAGAAATGGGGTTTAGGAAAATAGGCAGTGAGCTGTCTTGCAGCGGTTGGGAGCCTCAGGCAGCAAAATCACCGTTTCTTCTTGTTGGGGGAGCCTATTCCTCCTCCTCTGGTATCTGTAACTTCTGAGCCTGTGTGGACTGAGGAGGTGAGCTGCCTCCTTCTGAATTTGATGGGGAGCGGTAGGGAGCGAGATCTGCAAATGGAGAGTGATCGCTGAGATGAGTTTTTAAAAGCAAAAATGAGAAGCGATGCAGATTAGGTGAAAATGCACAGCTAACGTGCTCTGAGCGTGCTAAAGGAGCTGTAAGCCAAGCCATTACAGGGTTCTAGTTGCACATACCTTGAAACGTACCAGGCTGAGCACGTTGAAGATGGAATTACTGACGTGGTAGGAGCCCGGTGCAGTGAGAACAGAGCACCTTGAGAGGTAGCTCCTCACAGCTCTGATGACTACAGTCTGAACTGGGCCCTTGCGACAGGCACCGGCTGGCGATGTAACGCAGCGCCTAACAGAAATGCCAGATCCACAGTACTGGTTTAGTAAGGGAAAGATGTAGAAGGAGGACTAGAAAAGGATTTTTATGCCCATTTCATCCTTAAATTCCCATGCTGGTATTTAATCAAATGATTAAAAAATGGTGGTTGCCAAGTGGAAGCCGGCACAGCGTTACTTGTGCCGAAGCCTTTCTGCTGGTCACGTCCAGAGCAGGACGCTGTGACCGGAGGCCAGTTGGGCAGGTCTTCTGGAGTGCAGGTGTGCCAAAACATGGAACTGGACAGGCTTCAGAACCAGTGCAAGCACTGGAAACGTCGTGCTGGTTTGATGCTTTGGGCTGTAGTCAGTGAGGATACCACAAAATCTTAAGACAGTATTAATTCTGCAACTTGGCAGAGGTATACTGGTCGGAAGTGGGTTTTAGTTAATATATCCAGCATTACCAAAACAGTGTTACCAGTGAGTTTAGAATAAAAGGGGTACAATTACAAAGCCAGCATTTCTAAGGAAGAAAAAACCAAAACCCTAGTGCCTTTTTCTTTTGAGCTTGTGATGTTCTGTCCCTTCAAAAAAGGTAAGGGCTATGTCCTCGTGGATGTAATACTTTGTTTGGCTTACCTGTAAGTGGCTCGTTGTGGAATACTCGAGACAAAACTGTCTCTCCTTGGCAGCAGTGGAACTAACTGCAATGTGCTGAGTAGCTTTAAGATCCACTTCCACCCTATATGCGTGTACAAACAGCACACAAGTTCATAAGGTGTAAACCCTTGGTTATTTTCCCTGTCCTACTCCCGTGGAAAGGAAGCTCAGCCTTTCCAGTATTCTAGTTATGCAATTTGGTTCTTCCTGTAACTTGTTACCTAACTGCCATAACATACCATTACTGATCGCGTACTGGAGCCTCAACTCCGCATGTAGCTGGGAGTTTAAAAGAATTGGTTTTTCTTTAATTTTTTTTTTCCCCCTCAGATTTGTGATTTTTATATTTTTACACTGTTTTGGCGCATCTAAGTCTAACTGAAGCAATAGTCTAAAGCCCATCTGAACAATAACTTAAAAAAGAATATCTAGGCACCAATGAGTCATTTAAATGTTGACGTGAATTCTGCATTTACACTTTGTAGTTTCTTAATTCCTCAGCCCCTCCAAAATGTTTCTTTGGTGCTAGACGTAACTTATTGAACATCAAAATGAATGTAAAATAAAGTATTTTTAACATATGGAATATGGATATCAATATTTATTTTATACTTGCAAGCAAATTCAAGGTGGTAAATGTTTGCTTTAGCAAATACTAGTCCCTTGGAAAGGGCTTCCCTAGAAGCAATGTCTCACTGTCAGCTATGCTTTTAATTTTAAAGGTGACTTGCACTAGAGGATGCTGCTGTTCCATATTTTGACATGGAACTGATTTAGTCTAAGCATTCCTTTGTTATGAGCTGCTGTTTTTTTGTTTGTTTGTTTGTTTTTAAGTTGAGATGCAGTTATGTTAATCCAGCAATTTACTAGAGCTACGCTGCTTCTCTTCTGTGGTGAAGGGGCTGAGGGAAAACATGGCAAAGAGCTCTTCAGTGTGTATCTTGTGTTGATCGGGAAGTGCTTCCTGTACTGTACAAATAACCTAGCCTTCATGTTGCTGATGAAAAGGTGTTTTATATGCTTAATGCTCTTGACTTTTCTAATTAAAGCTATTACTAATGATAGTATCTGTCCTAACAGCATTGGTGTAAGCCTATGAAAAGTGACACTCCGTAAGCTGTTCAAAATACTCATCTTCTGCTACTGATAGAGGCAGCAGTAAGTCTGTTTTAATGCTGTATGTTTACTTCAATCAGTCCAGTCCCAGTGATGTTTTACAGTAATAGCTGCTCACTAGGAGCATTAACCTCCATTCTGTGTATACTACCCAGTGCAGAGGGCTTGTTACAGAGTATTCTGGACACAGACCCTCCTGCCCGATCTTCCGTTGCGGTCCCAGCAAGCATTAAGAACAGCGTTAGTAGGTTTGCACGAGCCTCTGGCCATGAACTGCCTTGTAAATCACACAAATTAAGCACTCTGCCATTATTCTCTTGTGCGGCGGCTGCATCAAATTTCTTTGCGACTGTAACAGACTTCATTAGCCTTTCGGTTTACTCTCTCTTCTTGCAAAATGTTTTTTGCATGTGCCCCGGTTGCTCTTAAGTGATGACACATTAAATACTGTGAAGGAAGGTACCTGGTGAGCATGTTCAGCTCGTCGGCTTCTTCCTTAAAGGGAATGTTGCACTCATTTGAATAGTGTACTGGTGTAGCCGTGCCAGACACGCAAATGCCTGTGCTGAAATTATGTAAAACCTAACTGATGTTGTGCACACTCAGCATTTCACTAGGTTTTTGCATTGTATATTGGTAAATAAACTTGTATTGAAGTTTCTTTCCATTATTGATTTAATGGCAACGTATCTTGCGTAATGAAGAAAATGGCTCAAGTCTTTGCAATAACAAATGGAGATGCATTTTAGCTAAATGATGATGGGGGGAGAAGTGGTCTTTATGAAATAGCTAAACCCAGAGGTACTGGTGGTAGCTTTCTTGGCTGCTCTTATGCTTAAATTTCAGAGCCACCTCCCTCTGTTCCTTGATTTCTTCAGTGCTTCTTGCTGTTGTATGGCAGAGTGCACAGGTGGTTTGAGCTCAGTAAAGGCTGAAGCTCTCCATGCTGAAAGCCTCTCTGAAAGGGCAGGCCAAGGAAAAGGAACCACCTGGTTATCAGCTTTAAAGATACTAGTTTGAGTCTTGTGCTGGATGTTTAACAGTAGCTTCTGTTCAAGAACACCATGAATGAAGCAATATAACGCAAAAAAGACAGTTTCTGTGAGGCGCTAGGAAGCTCCTTAACAAAATCTTCAATCTGCTAGGGAAGAAGCTGTCCCTTTGTTCTAATCGCCCTCCTAGAAAAACTTCTATACTAATGAAGTTGTTCTTAGATTTAGTTTAGGTCCAGAGGGGTTGGGAGGGAGCAGAACAACACATGACAGTTCTTAAAAGGTATATAAATTGACCCTGGTCGCTTTATGGCCTATCAGTTGAGCATGGGTTCCAGTCAAAGTGCAATGAAACAGTTTCAATTCTACTTTGCACAGTTACAGCATGCTCTAACCCACTGGATGGAAGGCAGTTACTTCCAAGTTCAACTTAAGTATATGGAATCCCCCCCCTCTTTTTGTTGTAGTTTTACACTTGTATCTTTGCATTTTGATCCCTGTACTTGGTTTAAAAGAAATTAACACTAGTTTTGCACCAAAAATTATTCTCCCTCCCATGCCCTGTCAAAGCATTGATTTTCTTTAAGAGTTGAGAAAGAATGAATGAATCCTTAAACATGACTAGCCCCAAACAGTAGTATGCATTTAGGCTGTTCCTAGTTAACTGTTCAATTCCCCTGAGGCAAACCAGCACTGGAAAAACAGTCTTCACATTTAATTGCTTCTCACCATGAGTAGGCCTAGTGTTCATAAGCTGTTGGCAACTCTGCAGCTGAACCAAAAAGAAATAATCAATACTTGACCTTAAGGTAAGAAGCTCCTTAATCCAAGACAACCAGAAACAAGTGTGGAAGTACTTCCTGTTTACCAGGTCCTAATTACATGCATACGTTTGAAGTTTCTGACCTACGTGTTAAGTGTATGGGCTTTGATGATACAAGAGGAGAGATGCTTTGTCAGTTGTGTTCATTTGCCAAGCTCCATCCAACGCCTATCCAGGTGACCAGACAAATGGAGGACAAAGCATTCAGTTAATTGTGTATTGTATTTTAGCCTGATTCTGCAGGGCTGGGAGCAGCACATGGGGTTAAGACATGGCAAGAGAGCTGCGTATGGGAGAAGTTCTGTTCAAACTTAAAATCCAAGCTGAGTAAATGTGAGAAACAAAGATGAATCTAAGTTCACATTTTTGTTTGAGCCACTTACTTACATGCAATCATTTTATGTAATTCTAAAAGACAGTATATACCAAACTCTCAGCTACTCGCTTCTTCGGGTATTCTGGCCTTCAGCAGGGTTGTAATTACAGTTTGCATAACAAACTGATCGTAAAGCTTGGAAGTTACAAGACTATCAAAATTGTTTAAACCAATTTATACAATATTAAATTAAAAAAATCCAGAGATAGGATAAGATCTATGGGTTCTTCAATGCCATACAAGTATTAGATGGTTTTCTTGAGTCAACGTTACTACAGAACAAAAAGGATTGAAAAATTACAAAAGATGACTACTCTCCATTGCCTTTTATTTACAGGTCAGAATTCACAAGGCTTTCAGTTGTTGAGTGAGATTATTTCTGAATGGACAAAAAAGGGCATTTATCACATCAGTGTGTAAAAGCTGATGGACGCTTGCAGAAGATGGGTTATTTGTACTACTTCACCCACCTCTGCAATGTTAGACTCTACAAAACTAAAGGAAGTGTTTGAACCACTGTTTGGATTTTCAGTCTACACACAGTGATAAACGTGAGATTGCAAAGTTCTTGTGAGCATTTTGTTCCTTTCAACTTAATGCTCCTTCGGTAGCAATAGTTGTAAAAAAACGTTATCTAATCTAAAGCATTAGAGGGCCTAATGGCTCTTGTATTTCACACTTAGAAGAGAGCTTATGGAACAGCAATGTCGAAGGCCACCAAGCAGGAGAATTTAATCAGTTGCTTCATTTTCAGTGGGAGACCTCAACCACATTTAAACTCTCTCAGGGAGCAGAGGAATGAGGAAAGTGTGGTGTAAGAGAAAAACCATCCAGCTGTTTAATAGTTGTATGGCATTTTAAATTCTCAGATTAAGCAGCTAAGCGTCTTTCACAACCCCCACCAAGGCAGGCCGCAGTGTACGCCCATGCAGCTTATAGCCAATCTTGGATACTAATGCAATAGTGCCAGGCTCCTTCCCTTCCATGGGAGCATGGAACAATGCTTCGTGTTCATAGGGATCGAACTTGGCTCCGACAGGATTCAGTCTGAGCAGGCCGTGTTTTTTAAACACTTTTTGAATCTGTACTTCTGTCATAACAAGACCTTCATATAAGCTCTTCAAGTGAGGATTTTCATCCTTAATTTCTTCTTTTGGAACACTTTCTGTTGCTTTCTCCAAAATGTCTGCAACTTCCAGTAAGTCCTTACAGAAGCTCTGAATCCCTAAAAAGAAGTGAAAGAGTAGGGAATGGAATTAGTCCACTGAGGGAAACAAGTGTTTAAAAAAAACCAAAACAAAGCAACCAGATCCAACCCCAAAACCTACAGCAATAACCTGTACTCTTTTAGATTTTTAACAAGATAATGTGATACTGTAAACATTTGGGGTAAAACATCCTTTCTAGTTTTACTTGATGGTACAGAACTATTAAAGATACCTTGAAATCCACACCACCTCCTCTAGTTCTGTGGGAAAAAAAATATTTCAACTGAAAAAAGCTAAAGCTATGTGGATGACCTGACATTAGCAGTTAAAATTCTAACCAAAGTTACCAAAACCTTAATGGCTTAATGCAGTTTCCTCATTCTCTCTTACCCTGGGATTCACATAAAGTTCAAAGCATTATGTTGCCCTATTCCTACCCTTTGATCTGGTTTGCTAAAAATACTTGCAGAAGAAAAAGCATGTAGTCAGACTGATGAGGAGTCCAAGAGATGAACAGGGATTCTTCCCTGAATGAAATGAACTCACACCTCTCCCTCCCACTACAAACCACTTTTACAGAGTCAGCAGCTGTGCCTTGTAAAGTCTGGGCAATTCCTAAGCTAACAATAGTCTGTCCTGAAGCTGTTCTCTGGCTCACACTAAAAGAATCTGGACTAATCTCAGTTAAGGCAAACTACCTCTAGAAATAATGAAAAATCAAAACTATTCAGTAGAATAACACATTTTACATAGATGTAAACCAATGACAAACCATGCTGAATTTTGGTAGCCTTGTTGTTTTTGGGGGTTTTTTTAGCCACCAACAGCATTTTTAATTCTAGCTCACATTTTAGATATTTTTTTACCTTACCAAGAAGCAATATGAGCATTACCAGAGGACAAGTCTTCGGTTGAAACAAAAACCAAACCCTACAGAAGCACCTTGCAAGATCTACAGGGATCAGCTAGTTCTCAAGAAAGGGCCACTTTTAACAACTGCACAGCTCCGCAGAGACTCGAGCTCTTTATGGAACAGTAACTAACGGTGTCCAGGTAGTTCCAAAAATATAAACAAATGAATCAAGGTTTTAAATTAAAATTAAAACTGTGGTTAGGGCTGAAATGTCTCAAACATTGATTAACCAGTTGTCTAGTGATCTGGATCAAACCAAATAACCAAACTCTTTCTTTAGAAGGTGGTGTGGTTTGGGCTTTTTTTCCCCCCCCAAGTTATCTCTGCAGATATCTGTGACTGCATCTCTGTGAATTTATGCAAGTTTCAGAAATTAGTTTCTCTTCCTTCAACAGTCAGATGTGATTGATAAAACTTACAATCATGCACATTATCCATAATTTAGTTTTTGTGAGAAATTTTATTTGAATATTTATTTCTATTGTAGCATCTCTGAGCTCAGACTCAAAGTCCTTCTGCACTAAGTAGCATATTAGTGAAACAATGCTTATTGAAAATCAACTTCAGGGTGAAGCATTCAAACATCCATGAAAATCGTACAATACTACTATGTAACTGAGAAATGCTTTTTCTCACAGTACACATTAACTGAAGACCCTGTATTCAGAAATTAAAACTTCTGTATTCAGAATTAAACTATACAGCTGTGTATAGTGTGTGGCAAAAAAGGCCAACTCATTTTTCAAGCCAGAGTGACAGTCAAACACTAGGATGATCTAGCACTCTTCCGCTGCAGTGTTTGCATACAATTTCTATTTTACAAATTTGTGTTTGAACTGTCAAAAAGCTGAATCAGATGTCAGTAGCCTGGGTCTTGAAGAAATACGTGTTTCTAGCACTCCTTGTAGCCAGTGACTGTACCTTCCTACCACTGAAAAGAATCCACCCATCTAAATGTATTGCTTCTATTGGACAACTGTGGCCTTCAACAGAACAGAAAAGTTACTCAAATATAAAAGGCTAAAAAAACCCAGACAAAACCCCAAAAAAGAACCAAACCCAAAACAAGCACCACCAACAGAAAACCCAAACCAGAGGGAAAGCTAGTATGCCACGCTCTTGGTTCAGTTTTTTGCATTCAGTTCTGAGACCAAAGTGCGTGAAAAAGGCAAACTTCAGGCTGCAAACCTTACTGAAAAATCGACCAGTGCAATACATATTGTAGGAAATCAGATACCAAATTTCAAGAAAATTTCTAATTGTTGACTTTAGCAGTTTACGTCTTGCCCTTGTCTAGCGAGATGATTACAATTCTGATGCAAAGTGAGGAACTGTTCAAACCTGTCTGCCTCAAAGACATTTTTTAACCAGGTAGTCAAAATCACTGGGAAGAACAACTTGCCAAAACTGTGCCCCAGTCAGCGCAATTTTCCAGGCTTTGCATTTCCTGGGTCTCATGTGTATACACAAAAGGAGCCTCCACTGACCGTATAACTTTGCCTCTTCAACCAGTTTCTGGCTTCTTTGCCTCACGTTTTCTGCATCTGCCAAAGCACGCTTGTACTTGTCCTAAAGGAGAAAAAACAGTAACAGATGCGATTTCATTCCTAGTGGTTGGGTAGTTGACAATAATTCAAAACAGCCTATTCGGTATAAAACAGCATTTTAACCAGTTACATAGCCTAAACCCACCATCTAAAAAGTAAACTGAAAACAACATGCCAATTATCACAGCATCCTTCCTACTAAGGCAGATGTTTGTTTTACTTTAGTGCAGACAGAAGTGAGGAAAAGGAAATAAAATGGGTTTCCAGACTCAGAGTATTTGTCAACAGATTCACTGGAAGAAATTTTTAACTCTAGAGATGTATCAAGTTTTATGAATCAGAGATTTCTGCTTTTTCTGATGTGTGTTCACAGAAAGCCTTCATCAGTCATAAGGTATTTTGACACTATGGCAAACAAGATTCAACTCAGCCACGACTTTCAAACCATCTTCTCCCTCTCCATACATACCACAGAGTGTCCTCCATTTTTTTATTTTTTTCAAACTTTACAAACTATGAAGTCTAACTCCTCTGTTATTCAGGTTAAGTTTTGGCCTATTCCTAAGCAATATGGCCGCCTAGCAGCAGATGTACTAAGAATGAAATTCAATTAAGTCAGGCACTTCAGGCTGAGTTCTTAACAACCTAACCCGCAACTCTATGTTGGGCTTCCACTCTGAACATGCTTGACCTTCACGTGCTGGTGAAGAGTCTCAAAACAGAATGAAAATCGTCAATGAGTTGACTGAACAGCGACGTTAGGTAGCCAACAGCAAATGCTGTCAATGGAGACGTTAAAGGACATCTCAGTTTTGTCCTGCAGAGCTTTGGGAAGGGCAACAGAAAGGAAACTCAATCCACTTATGACCCATAGGTGCTGCTTCTATAGAAGGTTTTGGGCTGCCTCTCAAAGTCTCAAATGCACTAGAAAGACATTTTATTGAGAGCACTCATCCAGAAAAGCAACACCTTTGTTTAATCCATGTCTCCCACCTCTCAGGGCGTCTTTCACCCTTATGCTGATGTCATGCATGGGAGGGAATGCAAGATACATTAGGCCAGACGGAACATGACGCTTCAGCCTTGTATATGAAGGACTCTCCAACAGAGAAGGTTTGAAACTTCCTAAGTACGTAATAAGTACACTATTTATATAAAAGCTAAGCATCATTAACCCTGACCTTTGAAAAGCCAGCAGCTTTTTTCAGAAAGCCTGCTAGCACACACAAATACAAACATCAAAGACACACTCAAACCCTTCTATCTGCTTCAAAAAATTATTTCTCCACTGAGCAAAACCTAAGTGAACTGAAGTCAGTGAAACTCAGTAACAGATTTTCAGGCTGGAGAAGGTCCAGATCCATTCAGAAATCGTAAAGAAACTATCCAAAATCTTAATTTTGGACCAGGCATGCATCTCAGGTCTTGTAGTACACCTACTCTTAAGTTTAAAGAAATTATCGGTTTGCAGGTTTTTATTCAACAACTAAAGAGCAGTCACACAACTGTACCCAGATTGTGCACTGAGAACCCACAATGAATGCTCTTAGGTATGCAGTTTGTAATGTATGTAACCAGATGACCAAAAGACACTTACAGTAACTTCTTTTAGTTGTTCTTCCAGTTTGGCCTTTTCTTCAGTTAACATTTTTTCAGCAGAGCTGGGTTCAACCTTCTGCTCATTTTGGCTCTGACTCTGGTCCTCCTCCAAGTTCTGGCCGGTATTTTTCTGTTGTGTTGCTACACAAAGCAGTCGTGGAGAAGTCCTAAGGCAAAAACACGTGGAAAATATTAATCACTTGCTTACTTTGTAAGATGTTAGCATTTTCAGGACATACTGGACACTTTATTTGACACGTCAATGTCTACAAAATTCTCACATTAAAGCAGAAATACATACAACAGTTCTAGGTCTGTGAAAACTCTTTGCAGAACCTTTCATCAGAAGTAACTGAATAAACTTAGCCTGCCTAAAATGTTGCAAAAAATAACTTTGCTGCAGGGTAACAACCACTGGGCAGCAGCTTGTAAGTGTCCATTATATTCAGTTTATAAAGTCGCAGCACTTTCAAGGGGAGTATGAGCTTGTTTTCCGCACAGTACTCTATCAGGAAGCAAATCCAGTTTACATGATGCAACGACCTGCAAGAGTCTCCCAGAAAACACACCAGTGAGGACAGTGGTTTGCTGCTGATTGCTGGGGAGCAGCGGAAAAGCGCCTTCCCTGTCACCGCTGTACCGCGCTGCTGTACCGCGCCCGTCACACAACAACGGGCCGGTCTCCGTGAACATCACCATTTATCCCTTCCTAACCATCCTTAAGCCGAACCAGCCGGGCGAGCTGAGCAAACCGGCTCGCGGATGAGGCGGGTGGATCAGCGCCGCAAAGGCACAAGGCCTCGGATCCCCGCACGCCTCGTCAAGGCTTCAGGCCTG